GCGAAAATCTATGCGGAGAGCGAACGAACGATACGGCCAGAAATCCGGCGCGGTAGGGAAAGACGTAAATGCGAAACTGACAATTAGAAGCCGAGCCACGAACGCTCGTATTATTCGTTGTATCGTTTTACGACTTTACGTCCTCTGCGAGCCGCGCCGCTTTAAGCGGTTTATAGTTTTTTTAATTGCTGAAGGGTGTTTCGCGTTGCAAGTTGATTCCTTTGCCGATTCACGTGGCAAATCAGTGTGTTACTTTGTGTCACGCGAACCACGCCATCGTATTAAATTCAGTCGTGATAATCTTTATTTTCGAAACAGTTGTATCGAGTGGAATGTAAGAAACGTCGTTTGCGACTTTCGTCTTATAGCACATTACGAATTACAATTTTACTTTCAAACTATTTAAACGTATTTCGGATACTTTTCTATGTAGCGAGATTTTTGAAAATTATTTTGTCGCTCGTCTTAAATAACTGGTTGATTTTTCTCGTCTTAAATAACTGGTATGCTAGAACTCGAGATCAGAGTTACGCGATCTCTTTGACCACCAAGTTTTTCTTTCCCACACTCCGTTATTACGATGCAACGTTATTAAGGATTGCACGAGTACGCATTGTGCACGAGGGGAAGTACTCGATGCGACGAGTTGCGTGCGGGCTGATCAAACGGTGGAGATGTTACGCGTATCAGTTTTGTAGCACGTTCAAGTAGCTCCACGAACTCATCGAGCTGCATCCTTTAGTGTTTTAAACGGAAACACAATGAGAAAAACGTGATCAATCGACCGAATCGTGTACACGCACGAATATAATATTTTACCGACATCGCTCGGTAGATTATCGATTAAAATGACGTTATAAACGAATATGTTCGGTGGTGATATTTAGAAGATATTTTTCTGTTAATAAACGAATTTAGTCGTCGTTAGCGAGGACAGAATAAAAGTGCCGCGTAATCCGACAGGAAGTATTGGATTCGTTTAATTGAACAGGGAGAGAGGTATTTCGTATTTTTTTTCTTTTCGAGACTGTGACATTTTTGGGCCGTTTGAAGAGCGCACACCGGTAGCAGGATGCGATAAAGTTGTTCGGGGTCGTAATTTAAAGATAACGAGTTGTTTAACAGGCGCAACAGTGAGTTCCTTTGTTAAGGATCAAGATAAACGCGCGTTCCAAGTGCACGGCGTAGAACGGCCGAGTCCAAGCACGAATTCGGGAGGCTCGATAGGGAGGCACGCGATAGGATGCGACAACTGCTGCAACAACATCAGAGAGCATTTAATCCGGAATGCCGAATACGAGAGAGCATATCGGCACAGCCCCGAGCGATAGATTTGGCCAGTGCGCGAAAACGGGGTTGCAACCCTCCGCACGAAGTGCACCCTATCCCTTGCCGGCCCATTAATAATATACCCATATTGGACACAATTCACCTTGAAATTAACCGGCAGCCGATTGGTAAGCCCGGGCAAATTGACTTCGAAATTGACAATTTATGGTCGCTCGATTTCTATTCCCGTCTCTCTTCTCCGAAAGATCGAGACGTTCTTTTCCGTTCGAAAGTTTCATCCGATGTTGTAAATCGTACTAGGCGAAAACGAATGTTCCCCTTGATTGACTCGTCGCTCGACTCGAAGACGGATCGAAGCGTTTTCCTTTTATACTTTTTGCCCCCCACCCCCTCCAGATATAGTTTGCGATGAATGCCATCGCCCGAGGAGAGGAAGGTTGAACGAGCGTTTACCGGCGAACTGGCAACTCTTTCTTTTAGCCAGCGCAGCGCTTCGATACGGGTGAATCGAACACGAAAGTTAGCAGGACGATGCAAGAGACGACGTCGGTCGGTCTTTAAACGGCTCATCACGTAAGAATGGGGTGCACTTCTTCGAGAACAGTATCGACGTCCTTCTTTGTATCTTCCTGACTCGATGTTCCCTTTTTTCTCTTCCTCGATGCTCGACTTCTTCCGTGCGTTCCCGTTCCGCCAACGGGGAGCCGCTTCTTCACCGATGGTGCGGCGATCATTAAGGCGGGGAATGATCCGATCAAAGCATAGCACCTGGCGCGATCATCGAATCCTACACGCGATATTCGAGTGCAACAGCGAAAGAACGTCGAATCTGATCGATCGATCTGATGCACCGTCTCCGAGACTCTCTAGCGATCCACGTCCAGGCCGGCGAAAGAATCGTCCATTTCGAAGATGCGACGGAATTATTCGAATTTCGTCTGATATCGGACGTAGCTTGTAGAATCGTAGCAACGTCGTGCATTATTGCAATAGACGAACCAGTAATTATTTCCAATTATCGGTAAGTGAAAGGTAACGAAGAAGGAGCACGTTCCACTCGACTATCGTGTTCCGTTTAAATTTCTATGACTTCGAGCCGATCGTTGTTCTCGTTTGACGCAATCGTCTAACACGGTCAACGGGTTTCGAAGAATTTCATCGTTTCTAGTTTTTCGTTGTCGGCGCACCAGGTAGTTTACAATTTGTTCGCTATACCTGTCGGAATTTTTGCGTTCGGCCGAGAAAAGGTTGGCGCCAAACGCTGCATTATCGTGTCCTTTATTTAATTGTCGATCGATACGAAATCTGGCGGTCGTTGCAGCAACGCGACCTATTACCGTCCGATCTCTCTCGATACGTTACGTTGGCCAACGATCGAAACACACGCTCATTTTATCCTCGCCGGACGCGATTTCGTAAACACCTTTCTCGATATCCGCTCGATTTCCCGGCCGTTCGTTTCTTCATCTACGATCGCCATCGTGTCGCTTTTGTCGTTCGACGATTGCTCCGCACCTGTCTCAAGGAACGCGATGTCGCGCAATTCCGTCTTGTAAATTATCACGTTCGAAGTTTTCGTTAAAATTTCGCCCTCTTCAACTTGGTTGCATTTAAATCTCTAGGCATAAGTTTTATATATATGGGAGCTATCAACGAACTATCGAAGCGTCAACTAATCGAATTGAAATAAAATCGTGATTGGATCATACAAACGCCAATACGGTTCACGCGTTAACGAGGTCGCTCGTTAAGCGAAAAATCAATCGAAAACAAGCCAACGGTTAAATATTTTTCTCTTCGTAAGTTTATCGTCGGTCGAGCTAACCGTTCGAGTCTGTCGCTGAAATTCCAACTCGCACCACCGGCAGACAACGCGAAGAACGCTTAATCGGAGCGTCGCGTCGCCTCGCGTCGCTTCGCTTCGCGTCAAGTCGTAGCGGAAGAAGAAAGAGACCGCTCGATCGAGCGTCGACGAATTTTTCTTATTTCACCGGTACACTGGTACACAAACAAGTACGCATTATGCGGGTCTAAGCGTCCGAGAGTGCGTTCTTGTTTTCGGTGTAACCCGAAGCTAAGCGGTTTAAGAGATCAACTCCGTATAAACCGGCCGTCTGAGAATCGTCTGGAGATCTCGTGCGTGCGAGAGAACGTGGAGGGACGTAGAGAGAGAGGAGGCATAATAGACGAGAACAAGGAACGAAAGGGTAGAAGCGGGAAGGCGCCAGAGAAAACGTGCAACGAAGGACGCTGCATCGACGAACGACGAGCGGAGAGAGACAGAGGGAGGAGAGAGGGTGGAGGGACACGGAGTTAAACGGAGGATGAAGAAGACTCTGGGCAACGAAGAGGCAAAGCGAGAGGGCAGGCAGAAAGACGGGATGAAAAATTAGATTTACAAATCTGTCCTGACTACTATGAGATTGCTCGCTTACCGGCCAGGGACGCTCAACCTTTCGACGAAAGGATTCTTTCTTCGTGATATTTTACACCGTTTCGTACGTGTACGGTACGATGATAGACACGGATATGGCCACGACTATCGTAGAAGAATATTTCGTACTTTCGTAATCGCGATAATAAATATTTAAAGGAAGTATGAAACGAACTCTCGCGGTAGATACAAAAGTTGAACGTTTTTCTACTTGTTAAATCGAGGACGGGCGCGGCAGTTGACAATCGCTGGGAGCTCTCGTACGCGTTATATCGGGAGCGAAGAAAAGAATCCTGTCGGGATAATAACGAAATTCAGACATTTTCTCGGCAAAAGCAAAAGCTTGAATCACGAGTACCGACAGTTCGCCCCGACATGTGTCCGCGGCCCGACGCGTATATGGAAGCGTCTGTTCGGCGCCTACTGCCTGTGAAAAATGAACATTCCTGCCAGCCGCAGCATCGTCCCTCTGCCATCCTGCTGATCATTTCGCGCCACGGATTCTCCGACGATTACTCTTAGCACGTGACAATATTCGTCTCATACGTTCGATCAGTTTATTACGAACGAACGCGAGTCCGTTCAAATCCATTTGGTAAACTATCTCGAACGATTAGTTTCCTTTGATGGATGCAATTAATGTGGCATCGTCTTTCGTCGTGTTCACAACGTTGCGACGGAATCAAAGACTGACGCACACTTTTTCTTTTTAATCGAATATATAATGCCGCGGAGCGATAAAAATGATACGTTTGTAGTTTGAGAAATTGAAGAAGAATTATCAGGTTCTCGACACGATGAATTATGTAAATGCTATTTATTCCATTCGTTTTTTTTACTCCTCGCGCACTTTTATCTTGATCACGAGTATAGGTTTGTCGCGACATTGTCGTTACATACTGGTCAATATATCTAGGAAATTATAATATTTCCGTTTCGCTAGAACGCAAAGTTTTATTCAACGACTATCTCTGTTAAAAACCAGTTTTCGAAACGCACGCTAATTCTGCAATTCAAACATAACGTAGACTAATCTGTGATCGTAACAGCTCGCGTTAGAGCTTTTAAGATTAAAGCTTGAATAACTAACCCAACGTTAGTCCGTTAGTGAAAAAAGACGATCGAACGTGTCGCGAACAACAAGGTCGATTCGTCTTTTTTCGCAAGACGATAAAGAATAAAACACTTAGGAGCGTGTTAATCATCGACGATCGGGGTAAGACGTTACCTCGATGACAGGTGTCTCTAACCACAGTAACTCTCTACCACTGTACAGCTCCAGGCCAGGAAGACCACCGAAGAGAGCGTCCGTTGGTCTGAGTCTCGCAGCCAGCCACCTGGCAGCGGCGACCGGTCACCACCCTCAGCACTCGTTGAAGAAGCACAGAATGGACAACGGGGATTACTACGAGAACGGGCATCTCGGTAAGTGTCTCGCATCCTTTAGTCGACGAACGCTCGTAAGCGTCGAGCGACCCGATCGATCGTACGACCGATTCCTGGTTACGAGCTCGCCAACGACTTTTCGACCATTCGCGGCGAGCAGTTCCTTGTCCTGTGTGCCACGACGCGACGTTCGTGTTTTATATCGTGTGTTCTTTGCTCGAACAAGTTCGCGTCATTTTATGGAGTCGCCACGGATTCGACGACAACGTTGCATTCGGCTTGTTTGCGCGTTTGAGTGGCAATTTGCGCGCTACTCAAACAGACGCGTATAGCGGGCGGTTGAAAAGCGTTTTCCGTCCTATATCCTCTCGATTCGTTAACTCCTTCTTAGATGTCGCATTTTACGCTGCTACGATGGCTCTCATCGATGGCAATTTTTAATCGTTTCTACGCGTTTAGGCATTAAACAAAAATCTAGGACATAAAATTTTGTCAAACACCGTCTACACGTTAGAAATATACTCTTAAAAGCACGACTCGGTTAGGTTACTTTACCGATGAGTTCGCTAACAAGCGCCGAATGAATTGCACACTCCACTCTCGTTTCCGTTTCCCCTCTTTTTCTTTCTCTTTTTCTCTTTCGCGACTCAATCGCCAGCAATTTTAAGCGGACAAGCGTTTTATCGTTCTCGGTTAACCTCTCCGACCGTTCGCACGGTCGATAAAAATCTCTTTACGTACGGATCGCGAATTCTATATCGCTCGTTTTCGGACTACTGTGGGGTTAGCGCAGCGATCGAACATAATCGACGAGACGAAAGGCTTGGAGACAAGATGTCCGGCGCGTATCGATAGTTGGCACGAACGCGAAAGACGAAAGGCGACGTAGGCCCTGAGTGGCAGGGGCACGCACTTGATTACTGTCATCCGTATACTCGCCGGGCCACGGTGACCCTACCGATCAATTAATTAGGGGAATCAAACGCACTTGGAGTGAGCAAATTAACTGCAACTGCACCGTCGTGTTGCGGCCTGCGGTGGCGGTCGCCGATACCCGGAATATCGACACCGATGCGCAGACCCATATGCCTCTGACCATTTCTCTTTGTCGCTGCTAAATCTTCCCAGACATTCTGATCGTGCTCTGGCTCTTTGATCCATCCGGTCACGGAACGAACCTTTCTCCATTGGCCGAATTAACCCTTGAAACTCGTGCACGGGTCTCAAAGATGTCGGTGCTTTGATTAACATACTGGCACTCGCCGCTACGCCATCGATTCGATAGCAATTTCGATAGCACGGAATGGAGTTCGGCAAGGGTGGAGGGAAATCGTAAAATCGCGTCGAACCGCGTCGACGATTGCCGTTCGGAAATTGGTTAAGCAAATAATCGCGAATACACGGCGGCCGTTCAATTTTACGGGCAAATACGTTTGACGGTGCAACCGTTAATGAATTAATGCCGAGCGGACGCTCGCTCGTACTCGCCTGCAGTTGCAGGAACCACGATTGCAGTCGGGGTAAACGTTGAAACGGCCGGCAATTAATTACGAGCCCGCGGTAATTGTATAATTGTTTTACGATTCGGTCCCCTTTCGAGATCACGATTGATCGCTACAGCTCGTTTCCTTTTGCAACTTCGTCGTCGTAAGAGGCCAGCTATAACGTCTCATTTGTCACGTGTCTCGCACGTAAATGGAATATTCTTCGTAATCACGTTTCTTGCCAATTAAAATGTCGAATCGCGTTATTAATAATCGCTAACGGTACAAGAACATACATTGTCCAGTTAGGAACGCGGAGGAAAAGGATTTTTCATTCCGGGAAGCATACTCGATTGATATTCGAGAGGGGAATCTAAAGCCGTTCTATTATACCGTCGACTTCGTAAAACGGCGCTTCTGTTCTCGAAAGAGCAGAAAGCGTCGGAAAAATACGGTTGGTTCTTCGAAGAGAAGAGAAGAGCAGAGAAAGAAAGAGAAAGAAAGAGAAAGGGATAGGTGTAGCGAAGTCAACGAGGCGAGAGCAACGTGTACGCGGATACGGGAAAGCAACGAGGCACGTTGTACACGGGATTTTTTTCAATTTGGACCGGTAGGCGAGCGCCACTTGCCATAACGCAATTAAAGACGAAAGGCTTGGAGACAAGATGTCCGGCGCGTATCGATAGTTGGCACGAACGCGAAAGACGAAAGGCGACGTAGGCCCTGAGTGGCAGGGGCACGCACTTGATTACTGTCATCCGTATACTCGCCGGGCCACGGTGACCCTACCGATCAATTAATTAGGGGAATCAAACGCACTTGGAGTGAGCAAATTAACTGCAACTGCACCGTCGTGTTGCGGCCTGCGGTGGCGGTCGCCGATACCCGGAATATCGACACCGATGCGCAGACCCATATGCCTCTGACCATTTCTCTTTGTCGCTGCTAAATCTTCCCAGACATTCTGATCGTGCTCTGGCTCTTTGATCCATCCGGTCACGGAACGAACCTTTCTCCATTGGCCGAATTAACCCTTGAAACTCGTGCACGGGTCTCAAAGATGTCGGTGCTTTGATTAACATACTGGCACTCGCCGCTACGCCATCGATTCGATAGCAATTTCGATAGCACGGAATGGAGTTCGGCAAGGGTGGAGGGAAATCGTAAAATCGCGTCGAACCGCGTCGACGATTGCCGTTCGGAAATTGGTTAAGCAAATAATCGCGAATACACGGCGGCCGTTCAATTTTACGGGCAAATACGTTTGACGGTGCAACCGTTAATGAATTAATGCCGAGCGGACGCTCGCTCGTACTCGCCTGCAGTTGCAGGAACCACGATTGCAGTCGGGGTAAACGTTGAAACGGCCGGCAATTAATTACGAGCCCGCGGTAATTGTATAATTGTTTTACGATTCGGTCCCCTTTCGAGATCACGATTGATCGCTACAGCTCGTTTCCTTTTGCAACTTCGTCGTCGTAAGAGGCCAGCTATAACGTCTCATTTGTCACGTGTCTCGCACGTAAATGGAATATTCTTCGTAATCACGTTTCTTGCCAATTAAAATGTCGAATCGCGTTATTAATAATCGCTAACGGTACAAGAACATACATTGTCCAGTTAGGAACGCGGAGGAAAAGGATTTTTCATTCCGGGAAGCATACTCGATTGATATTCGAGAGGGGAATCTAAAGCCGTTCTATTATACCGTCGACTTCGTAAAACGGCGCTTCTGTTCTCGAAAGAGCAGAAAGCGTCGGAAAAATACGGTTGGTTCTTCGAAGAGAAGAGAAGAGCAGAGAAAGAAAGAGAAAGAAAGAGAAAGGGATAGGTGTAGCGAAGTCAACGAGGCGAGAGCAACGTGTACGCGGATACGGGAAAGCAACGAGGCACGTTGTACACGGGATTTTTTTCAATTTGGACCGGTAGGCGAGCGCCACTTGCCATAACGCAATTAATAAACTCAACGAGCGAGATCCGATCCCGATAGCGGCGGCGGCGGCGGCGGTGGTAACATCCATTCGGGACGTAGCGGGTACAATGGCTGGCACAATGGCCGTGTATACATGTACGCAGCAGTTCGGACGGCCGATACGTATCTACGTTGTCTGTAGAAAATTAAAACCGATGAGAAAAATAAATAGCCCGCGGGAGAGAGTGAAAGAGGGAGGTGGGGTGGTTTGCTCGGTTGGCTTAGCGGGTCGTGTGGGAGCCTCGTGGTACGGGACTCTCGACGGGAAGCCACGTTCCTCGCGCCTTTTCGCCGAACCATCCTCCTCCTCTTCACGGTCGATCGTTTTCCGATGAAAGTATTCCCGGACTGGAACTAGTAGGCTAGGCTGCGTAATAAACTAATGACTATCGGCTAACGTTCGTTCGTTGGTACGCGTTCCAGCCCCCAGTAATTATTTAATGCATCGATTACCGAAATAGCATTAATCGAATTGGCCGGCCGCAATTTATATTATATGACCTAATGCACGGCGAATCGACGTATTAACGCGCAAACTAAGTCAATTATCCAAGCGCGGACTGCGACGTCAGAGGCCGTCGATGAAGATTCTTTCGCTGGGACCTGATACTCGAAAGACTATAACTTGATAACGGTCATTAGCGATTATAGTTTGTCACGGACTCGGTGCGCTTTCGATGTACTTTTGGATGTAGGCACAATCGCAGCGGATGGTATCTGTGGTATTACCGAACAAGTTTTGCCTCTGCCACACTGTTCGTCAAAGTTTAATTTGGAATTATTAATGAAAAATACCGACCAATAGGAGCACGCTTAACGTGCGAGCTCAGCCACAAGAGTGTTGACTATGTACCGATGTTGATCGTTCCAATCAATCGTTTTAGTCCGAAAATTCCTCGTTATGTATTACTAAAAGCACAGATCTATCGACGAAGCAAATTCTATGGTAAAAATCAACGGTGAAAATTTCCCATTCTGTTTGTTAAATAGTTAATGCTCCCATGGTTGAGTATTATACTCGATGGGTGTTTTTCATTCATAATTTAAAGTCTAGAACTTAACGAACATTTCGGTAAAGCTATCGTTCTCTGCAATTATGTCCACCTGTAGCCGAACACCCTGCGTACGCGTACCTCTTGCACGCGATATATCGAAGCTCTCGTAAACCATCTTGTCCTCGTTCTTGTATCGATAAATCGAAGAAGTAGAAAATCGTCGACGCGATCATATGCTCTTAACGAATTACGATCGCGGAACAGGAAAGCTCGAGTTTTCCCTCATATTCGCTAGCAGCCACTTTAGAGCACGATTACGAGCTGTCTGTCCGTTCGAAAGCGTGAAAATTGTCGCGGCGTGGCGCGGCGCAACGCGGCGGGAAGAGGCTTCGAAACGGTCGATGGCGTGGTATCGAAGCGACGTGTCGGCCCCCTATTAACACCGGCTTTTATTGGTACACGAGCCAACCAGCTAGCCAGCCAGGCCAGCCGCGTTGGCTGACCTACGACCGGCAACAGTTAATCAATGCTTTTATGAGCATTCGCTTGCCGGGTACAGCGTCATTGCAGCCGCGACTGGTCGAACCA